CCGCCGCCGGTGGCGCCGCCCACCTCCCCGGCATGGCTGCCGCGCATACCGCCCTCCCGGTTATTGGTGTACCCGTCAAGGGTAGCTCGCTGGATGGTGTGGATAGTCTGTATAGCATTGTGCAGATGCCTCGAGGTAACTTACCCCGAATACTCTTCCCACCCCTCCCTTGACGTTTCTGCACGCAAAAACAGCAATTACATATTTTCTTTAACCCCCCGCATTTCTCCCTACTCACCCTCACATGCACTTAATGCATCACCTCGGCTAACGCGAACATACAACAGGCGTCCCCGTCGCCACCGTCGGCATCAACAACAGCATCAACGCGGCTCTGCTGGCCGCTCGCATCCTCGGTGCCTTTGACTCGACCATTCAGAAGAAGGTCGAGGCCTACGCCGAGAGTGCTCGCGCCGAGAACATGGAGTTGAAGGGTACGAAACTGCAGGAGCTGGGCTGGGAAAAGTACTTTGAGCAGATGTAAAATCTTTTGTATTCGGTGCTTGGATCTTTCTCGCTCTCTTTTTTTAATGGTTATGATCGGATACGGTACGGGTAAATAGAAGATAGATAGGGGAGGATGGGAGATAAGTTGTTCAATGCCATTCTGGCTTATGATTTCAACCAGTTGCTCCAAAGGATTCAAAGTTAAGAGGCGGGTGTACAGGACAGTACAGTAGTAACTGCATCGTTGGATATACGGGGAAACTCTAGGCAGGGTATTTGGGGCGGGACTTTCTACGTTGGAAGGCAAACAGAATAGCATGACATCACAGATACAAAGGATTAATCATTAACTACTGAGATATCTCGCAACATAAAACACAAACCAGAGCAGGGCATCAACCGACATAAACAATCACTAATACACGTGGTATGGAAGTGGAAAAAAAGAGTGTGACATATCAGAACCACAGAAATCCCTGTACGCAGTAATGACAAACAGGTATCGGTATCAATAAATAGACAACAAGACATAAGGAAAATAGCTGATGAGCGTGATGAACGGAACTCGTTTATTCTGGTTTTTTTCGGTGAGAAACCCAGCAGTTATTTGATTCGTCATGGGTTCAGTCCTTCAGACGTGACTTAAGCGGTCTGGGGGTTGAATGCGGTCTGAGCACCGGGGACAGTGGGACGGCCATTAGCAGTCAAATTAGTGTGGCCATTGCCGAAGGCCTGGTTGACTTCGTCGGAGAAGCCGCGGGAGGCGGCCACATGGTCATAGGGCTTGGAATGGCCGTTGGTATAGCCGTTGGTGCCGGCAGTGTACCCGTTAGTGTGACCGTTAGTGTGGCCATTGGTGTGCCCGTTGGTGTGACCGTTAGTGTAGCCGTTAGTTCCCAGGGCATGAGAGCCATTGACCGCCCGGCCATCGAGAGCTGCCACGCCTCCGGTGGTCGGCTTGCCGTCAGCGAGAGCCGAAGGGCCCTTGGTGGCGGCCCCAGTGTTTGGGCCCTGCTCAAGAGGGGAGCGACGCTTGCGTGAGATGCTTGCTGGCTTGGGAATGTCGGTAGACTCGGACGCACTGCCAATGCTGAAGACAGGGGACTCCCAACGTTCGCCCTTCATGGCCAACTCCTTGTACTCCGTAGCCTTGCTCGAGATACCACCAGGAAGCTTGATGTCGGGGAAGATGGAATCGTGAAGAGTAGTAGCGGTCTGGACCTTGGTACCACGCTGGGCCGCAGCCTGAGCCTGGGCCTGGGCCTTGCGAGCCTTCTCTTCGCCACGGGCACGGAAAGCATCCAGATAGCGTGAGTAGATATTGGGGGCGTTGGCAGGGTCCTCGCGGCTGGCCTCCTTAGCCTCGTTGACCCGACATTGGATTTCGTATGCAAGCGCATCACCCTTGGCGAACGCATCCCGAATCTGCTGTTCAATGACCTTCTGTAGGGTCGGGCGGACGACACGGAAGAGTAGAGGCTTGAAGATGGTGAAAAATGCCTTGTGCTTCGACTTCTTCAGCTTCACGTTGAAAGAGTCAATCTTGACGGACACCTTGTCTAGCTTGATGTAGTGCTGGCTATCCTCCCTTTGGGCAGTAGAAGCTGCGATCTTGAACCCAAAACCTTCACCACCCAAGAAGATGTCCATGATACCGGTGTCAGTGATTGCTGGGAATCCCTGCTTCCGGTTGATATAGTAGCTGACATCCCTGAGATCAGCTTGAATCCCAGAGACAGAGATCATGATCTTGTTGTCTCTCTTGCTGCTGATCTTCTTGCGTCCCCAGCGGAAGTAGTTGTCGCTGCTGAATTCAACCACGTTTGGCATCAGGTTGTCGCTCTCAATGACGAGGTTTTCCACAACCACGTCAGCGGAGGGGTCAGACACCTCGATCCGTGGGACCGGAACGTAACGCACGTTCTCGAAGGCAGCAGGGAGGATGACATCCCGAATATCCTTGAGAAGATGCTTCTTGAAGGCCACATTGCCACTCGAGTCTCGGCCAAGGTCTTCGAAGAGCTTCTCCAAAGAGCTTCTGAATGCCAGGTTCTGGGGATCCTGGTTGAATTGATCACCAATGAACTTGATCTCATCCAAGATGCGATCTGTGTGGTCCTTATAGCGGTCACGCAGGAGGTATCGTCCGTGCTCATTCAACTGGTTCCACTGACGGGTGCAGTCATCTTCCATAATGTAGCCCTGCTCAGTCAGAGTTTTTCTGGATATATCGTTAGCGCAGTTCCTGTGTTGGCCAAGGATCTTTACATACCTAATGAATGTGTCCATGTTACGGAACCATCCCTTCAGCTCGGGGTCTCTGTCCGCATCGCGGTAAATGTTGTCGAGGGAGTCGAAAAGATTGTCAAGGGAAGTGCTGTTGGCGAAGCGCTCAAGCAAAGTCTATACTTCATTTTAGTGACTGTACGCAGACATCCGGCCTTGGACGACCTACCCTCAGGTTTGTTTCCATTTTTTGGATCTTATCGCCGCTTCTGAAGCCCTGGACTGACCCAGCACCCTGCTGAGAAAGGTTACGGGTGTGACTGCCATACTTCTCGGCCATTGAAAGCAGAGTCCGAATAGCCTGCTGGTCTATAGACAATCCCAAGATTAGTTCTAGGTCAAGAAGTGATTACGAGATATTCTCAGTGACTTACAGTCCGAATGGCCCTGGATTTCAATGACCATCTTCTTCAGTCGCCAGATGGCCTGATCGCGGCGCTCTTGAGGCATCTTCCCTGACAGATAGTTCTTGGTTCTTTCACGGTACTCACGAGCCCGGTCTTTCTGTTCCTCGGGAACATTGTCTGACACCAATTCCTGAGCTCTCTGCGCTCCGGCGGTCGCACCAGCACGAGGATCGACATCTGAGACGCTCTTGGGCTGCTGTCCGCCGGTCGCAGCCTGAGCGGCCGTATCTGTCACATCTTGCTTGCCCTAATGACGTGTGAGTTGCTATAGCATTCAGTCCCTAGAGATGGACTTACCTCTTCCTTGTTTTTCTTGAAGCGGGATTTGAACTGTTCCTTTTGCTGCGAGAAGTCTGGTTGCTCATGCCACACGTTATCCTCGGCGGGCTCGTCGATCTGAGAAAGTTGGTCCTGCGATGGCCTCAGCCGGTCGGAAGCTTTTTGGGACACATCGCCAGCCATATCGCGAGCTAGGATCATAGCATCATTGACTGCAAATGATTGTTAGTCAAGGTGCTTTGTACAATCTTTGGGACGGTTCACATACGAAGCTTTCTGAATTCCCCATTGGTGATCAGGAGTCTTCCCAGGGTCTTCAGTCCCTCGATGGACTCCTGAGCATCCTGCTGGGCCGAATCCTTGGTCACAGGCAACCCAGGCTTCTCTGTATCTTCTGCAGAGATGTTCTGGGCCTCCCAGAGGAATTCTTGAAGCAGCTGACCGTCGTTCTTGCTCAGCATAAGCTTCTTGGCGTTGTTGATTACATCACGGAGATCTTGGACAAGGCCTTGTCCCTCAGTGGAGAGTTCTTTTGACGGAGAAGAGAGAGCCTTGTGCTGGAGCGCGGTGTTCAAGGCAACATCACATTGTTTGTTCTATAATGAATGAGTGCATTAGTTCGTGCCATCACCCAGGGACTGGAGGAGGGATACTCACCGATGGAAGCTTGCCATTCTTGAACGCTTGATAGATACCAAAGAGCTGCAGCTTTTGGTTGATGTCCTAGCATCGCAGACTGATCAGCATTGCGGCTCCTCCACCAATGGCCTCAGATTCGCTTACCTGCTCCTTCTGCTTGGTGTTCATGGGGTGGTTAACCGCCGCCTTGGAAGACATGATGAATAGCTTTCTGCGCTAGCTAGCTAGACGATACAACGTGAGTGGAATGGAAGCCCGAAAGGACCAATGGTCGCCTGCGAGTCGGCGTCTTGCCAAGGAGCTCAAGTGAAGCGGCTGTTAAGATATAAAGATTCGATCGCAAAGGCGATAGAGTTGAAATCCCCGGGATGATAAGCGATGCCCGTGGAGCCGATGGCGAAGGAGTCAATAGTGGTAGCCAAGGGAGGAAAGGGTCGCGTCGCCGGGGTAATGTCGGAATGAAGGACGCAACCTGTGAATTAGGATTGAGATCGGAATGTGTATAGCTGCACGGGTATGAGATTGGATAATCGGATATTGGGGGTATTGGGAATATTGGGGGTATAAAGTATTGGGTATTGGGTATCAGGTATTAATAGTATTATTGTTCCAGGTATGAACAGGAAGGGCGAAAATAACATCTAGTGAAGAAAGCGTAGAAGATAACAGCGAAAGCGAAGAATAAATACCTTCGCCGGATGCAGATCACCGCCCACGGAAGGTGTGCAAAATCATGGCTGCGTTTGGGAGAGTAGGGGAAAAGGGAGGGAAGGGTGGTTTGACGTCACGCTGTCGTTGGTGACAGGTGCTGGACCGGTTCCTGAGCGCCATTGAGGTGAAGAAGGGTGTGGTGGTGGTGGTGCGACAAGGACCAAACCACAGCATCATTCATCATCATCATTATCATCATCATCACCTTCGCCGCCAGTCGTCGTCAACCGCAAGTGGATGAGGTCATCAGCCGATGCTGGCTGGCCAGTTGGAGGGAGGAAACAAAACTCTACAGCAGGGACGGGGAAGAGAAGCGGCAGACGGGAAGCTTCTACCTATCCACGACCGTGATCGACGCCAGCAACCCATTGATACGTGGGTAAGAAGCCATCGTGATGTCGAGCGGGACAAACCATCCTTCATCAAGCCAGCAAGCAGGAAGGGATCTGTGGTGCTATTCAAGTTCGGTGGGTTGAAGACCCCGGGAAGCTTGGCATCACATGCTCCGCCGTAAGTAGACTACAGAGTAACTTCCTTGGGCAAGGTTACTCGTCGACTTCACTCAATGCACCCATTGACCCAACTTCAAACCTTAGAGTTCTTGTTTCTTTTGCATCTACTTGAAGCTACTTCACAGGGTTTACCTCCCTGATCGGTGAAGTTGTCGCCAAGACGGACATAGCAGAGGCATTGAGTCAGATGAAGGTTATGGATCCCAATGATTGTGGAAGACCTAAGTCGAGAGTGGGGGAGTGCCATAAGGCTGAAAGCTGTATGTATCTAGACTAGACCTGCAAATCGTGAGGGAGTCGATGTACTGTACTCCGTACTGGACTGCAGTGGACTCGTACAGATGTGTGTGGTTTGAGGACTCGACAAGGTAGAATTCAAGTTTATCAGATTGGGGGCTCCACTGGAGTTCGGCGGCTCGCATCACCCTGACGTCACTCCCCCCGGTCTTTTCTCGAGTCTGGACCAACGAAGCTGTTGGCAGTAACTATAGCAGAGCTATTACACGTACTCACCTAGCAGTAGTATATCCCTGTCCCTGCCTGCTGGAATACTGAGTACAGCAATGTCATAATAGGCGCCAGCATATCTTTTACTCTTCCTAGCCCTCTCACCGCAGTCAAGCGCTTCAGCAGAAATCACGATCGCAAAAGACTTAATTTTCTACCATCCCTAAGACCGTCTACCAATCACGAGATACCGTTGCTTAAATAAATACCCAAGCATAATCTCACTGCATTGATCAACTTCACGCGGGAGGGAATTACCAGTAAGGGGGAATCCTGCTTAGACTGCAGCCGGAGATCATGCCTTTTTGTATGGAGTGGGTAGCTCCTCGAAGCGAGGAATATCGGCTACTATATTAATTTAAATTTAGCCTGGATTGACTAGATGTGTGGCTGCCGAAAGGTGAGTGCGACAATTGGCTATAAACATCAAGAAAGTCAAAGTGCCTGCGATTAAGTGCTTTTCAGTGTTTCTTTCCCCTGTCAGCTATTTACTACTTGCTGTCAGTAAACAAAGAGCCTGTTCAGAAGATTTTCTGACAGGGTAATCAAAAAAGTGGAAAAGTTGGAAGATGGTCGGATAGTTAAGAGGCCGGGAGAGAAGTACCTTGCCTAGTACCGGTAACTTAGTTCCAGCCCAAAGGATCCTAGTGATCCTAGTCAATTATTAGACTAGCCTGAAGGCCCGCGCCCGCGCCGGCGAACAGAGGTTCCTACCTATTTAGGTAAGGTACCAGGTAATTACTCCGTACGACTTACCCATTAGTAGTAGTTAGTGGTAGCCTGAGGCCAGACAATGGCAGACAGAGTATTTACTCATAACTGGGCACAGCATGGTCTCCTCAGCAGCTCAGCTGATGACTAAGTACCTAGTGATGTCGCGATAACTGTGTTAAAAGATTGGTCGAGGAATGATTGGCAGGCATCCCATCTCTGGGTGAAATTGGCTCCTGCTCACGCCCCTCTTGGTCCAGTCGCAAACCCCACCGTCTCCACCACGCATCCAAACGTTTTCACCCTTTTCTACGGCCGGAGCATTCACACTATACACGGTTGGACTGACTAGAAAACCGTTCGGCTACTTTGGTGATGCTGTTTCAGCTGAGTCAAAAACAGCCACGGTAGGTTGCATAACGGCATCACGGAGCAAACGGTCCGAATCATGGATCATGCTGTCATGCATTGCCTTATATCGAGAAAAGCTTCGGTTTCCCTTACCAGTTAGGAGCCCTGGTTCTTGTTGGGTCGGAACTAGTGATCTTCGCGATGCGACACGTCTCGGCACTTTGACCACTTGAGGGAAGGACAATCCTCACTGATCCCTGCTCCTGATCTCTTTATCCGAAACACGAGGGCAACCGAATCTGAACGCAAGCCAAAGATGAAAAATTTTCCGGAAGAGACATCACAAGGAGTACTCGAGTACAGAATGATTGGGTTTGAAAGAGAAAAGGGTGACTGCGGCGCGTTCGATTGGTGCGCTGAATTTAGCCACACCTCAATGGCTTCAACTGTATGGCGAGCTCTACCAAGGGAAGACCTCCGATTACGGTTGGGAAGGGCTTTGGTGGACATGGTGGACGTGGTGGAAATGTGGACCCATCGGACAAGCTAAGAACGGATCGTTGTGGTCTTTGACCTTTCTAGTAGTGTCCCAGTGTCCAGTGAAGTTGCAGACTGTGGAAACTGACTGACTACTACGCATTCGATTTCACCTCTTTTCCTCCGTGCAAATGCCGAGCGAGGAAGACAAGATACAGTCCAGTGAGTAAAAGGGGTTACTTCAATGTCCTCACATCATGTGCCGTACAGTAACTTACTCTGCACCGTATGGGATAGGGGACAGAGTAAGAGAGTGTGTCCTTGGAATGCTGGACAAACCGGTCTGCTGCATGACCTGCAAGGCTGGACTGAGCTGGACAGGACAAACGACGGCGGCTTTGGGCATCGGACTATTTCGCAACCGAGCTTGAGTAGATAAGCTGAGGCCCAGTGGGTGAATGACTTGGCCCAGATACTGATCGATAACACGAAACCCTCCGTTATGGGTTTTTAGGGTATACTGACGATAGAATAGTGGGTGGAAGTTCGGATGTCGCGTAAAGACTCCCAATTTGCAATCGCTGGGCCTCGAGTTTGCCCCAGACTCTCTCACTCTCTCGATCTATTGGAGCCAAAACAGCCCAGTTCAAGATCTTGTGGATAGGGCTTTAAACCCGTCTGCGGACTACCGGTACCTATTGTTGATATATGAACCAATTCAGAGACTAGTTGGGCTGCAGCACATAACAGGAGTAAGTGAAGTAGTGAGTAGTTGTCGATATTCTCATGTCATTCGTCACTGCACATGTACAGACATCCTTGCATCGAATGCTTGAGCGTCAGGCCCCAATAATCGTCATCTGCATGAGCGACGAGTATGGTTCGCCGTATTTCATCAGCCTTCCCTTCACCCTTTGGGAGCCTCTTAACTCTGAAGGGTAAATTACGACAATTTCGAGGGGGGGGCTCTGGCTTAGCGTGCCGTAGATCCAAGCGGGAGGTGGACCGACCGAGGCCTTTCATTGACTTCAGTTCCGCCTCTATTCCACTTTCCCATCTTTCCCCCCCCCATCATCCCCTCTTCAACAACTCCTCTTCTGTTACCTACTTTGCTGTATTCGCCCCATCCCACCTGTTCACCAAGGGAAAATAGTCTGCATATTTTCTCTCATTACCTTATGATCGCCAATATGGATTTCATCATCGACTTGTTGTGATAGTGGCTTACATAACATTCCACATTCAACACCAGTTCCCCCTTGCTTTCCTTCCTCTTCTCATACACTCTGCGCCCCCCCC